CTTCTGGCGAGGGGGCTCCGGCCTCTGCCTGGGACCCGAGGGGCTCAATAATGGGGAGGGCCAGGCTCTGGGGAAGGCATGGAGCGGGCCGCCAGCGTGTGGTCACCCACACCCCCCTCCTGAAATCGGCAAGGTCTGCTTTTTTAAAACCACGTTGATAGTTTTATCCCCTGAAAATATGAGGGGACCTGCGTTCAGTGTAGGCCGTCGGGAGAAGGCAGGAGAGTCTGCTGGAGAAAAACACGCACCTTCGTTCCATCCAGAGACGGCGCTTTCTGCGAGCTGTGCGTGCGCGCTGCACATGTGTGTGTGAGATGAAAGCAGGGTCTTTGCATACATCTTGTATCCTGCTATTTTTACTTAATATTCTCAGCAATTCTCATCTTCAAAACTGTGATTTTGATGACTGCGCAGGACTTCAGCATATGGGTTTAGAAAATCTACGTAAACCCGAATTGTTTCCAGCATTTGCTGTTTTCGTGCTGATGCAAACGTGCTCGTACAATAAATCTTTCTGTACTTCTGATCGTGTCCTTGGGATGAATTCCCAGCGGAGGCCCAGCGCACAAGCCGTCTTTAGGCTCTTGTGCGTGTTGCGGAGGGCAGAATGGAGAAGGGCCCAGGAGGGCTTTGGGGAGCAGAGGAGGTTCGAGCCCGGCTTTGGGGGGACTTGAATTCAGAGGAGGGAGGAGGGGGGCATCCTTATTTTGGAAATAGTGTCCGCAGAGGTGAGCACCTCCTGCCCTCTGCGAGATGGCCGTATTTTTCCTTCCCAGGGGCGGTGTGGGGGACCTTCCACTACGACCCGGCCCCGTATTTGTCTGATGCTCTGTGCCAGTCCACTTTGTCATGTGCAGCTGGGGGTCACTTGCATGCCCACTCACTGTGTTAACATCCTGCAGACAAGAGAGGGAGCAGCCAGCGCCACTCCCCACTGCGTTGGTCCAGTGAAAGGCGGCTTTTCTGCCACATCGGTCCCTCGGGCAGACGGTTATCAGATCTGAGTGCGGTCATGCAGAGGTTTCAAATCTGCAAAACGACAACCTCTTGAGCACTCTTGCTGGCTTCTGAGGCCACATGTGGACACCCCTTTTCTGCCTCTACCCCCGCGGGAAGGGGGTGTGTGTGCAGGACCCTGCACATGTTTTTAGGACTCTCATGGGGGAAGAACCCCATGCTGGAGGACCCTGTCCTGCCACCTTCGTGACAGGCTGTCTCCTAATTCTTCCCAGCTGGGTGCTACTCATGTCAGGACGTCCTCCGTGGGGAGGCAGCCGCGCATGGGCGTCCCTCACGAAGCCTGCCCTGAAAAATGATCTGGTTTCATCATCAAATGTTCTGGCGTAAATTTAGAGCAGTGTTATTCCCCTGATGACTTCTCCCACCACCTGGGGTTTTGTGTGATTCCAGGAAAGAGAAAATGAGGCAGCTTTTCTTCCTCTGGGTCCCTGGATGGTTCTGGAGTCGCTCAGTCACGTTTCCATCGGCCCATCCGTTGTACATTTGTTGAGTGTGGTTGGGGCTGGGGTGCAGGACGGGGTGACAGCGCCAGCGGGAAGGGTCCCTGACAGTCCTGCAGCCCAGGGCTTTCATCCTTCTAATGGTCCCTGTGTTGACGTCCTGTGGCTGCTGTAATGATGACCACAAACTGCGTGGCTTAGACCACAGAAGTGGATTCCCTCGCAGTTCTGGAGCCCAGAAGTCCAGAGTCAGGGTGTGGGTAGGTTCACGCTCTCTCCCGAAGCTCGAGGCCGCTGGTGGCCCCAGTACTCCTTGGCCTGGGGCAGCATCGCTGGACCGCTGCCTCCGAGGTCACATGACCTCTCCTCTGGGGCTCAGATGCCCCTCCTTTTTCTATTATAAGGACACTTGGCGGATTTGGAGCCCATCCTAAGTCTGGGCTGATGTCATCTCAAATCCTTGCCTTAATTGCGTCTACAAGACCGTTGTCCCAGTGAGGCCACATCGCGCGTTCTGGGACGTAGGTTTTTGGGGGACACGGTTCAACTCACTGGAGGACCTTAGAGGAAAGTGGGGCTCCTCCGGCTGAAATGGGGGGGAAGACCTAGTGGCTCCCTGCTGAGGCCCGTCCTCTGGGGCTCCCCAGGGCTCCGTGCCCGCAGTTACAGACCCGTGATGTGGTCCAGCCTTTAAGCTGTCTAGAAGCACCTGAGGCCCAGAAAGGGATGGAGAGCTGGCTGGTGGTGTAACGGGGGAGGGGACGTCGGCTGTGTCCCCAGGGACCCCAAACACACCCCCCTGAAGCCAATCCCAACGGTCGTGACCTGGCCTGGATGACGTGGCGTGAACTGGTGGGGGCAGGGTTTGGGAGAGGGTGAGGGTGAGCCTGGCTTTGGGGGGACTTGAACTCAGAGAAGGAGGAGGTGGGCCTGTTTGGGGGGATGACGTAAACTGTCAAGAACAACCGTAACGACCCCGGACGTTTGCTGAGCTGTCACCATCCTGATGGTGGGAGCAGCCCCTGTTCTCTCAGAGCATAGGACTGACGGGATGGGACGATGCTGGCTGGTAATCGCCCAGACAGGTGAGAAAGCCAGACGATAAGCACGCAGATGTACGGGGCCAGGGAACATGCGCCACGAAGACACTCGAAGCAGCAAGAGAAGAGAGGGTGGCGCGTGGGGACGGGCATGCGAGTTGTTTGTGTAGACAGCTGGGGTGGCAGGAGTGAGCCACGCAGACGTCCGGAGGAAGGAGGAGTGTTCCTGGGGCTGGCTCAGTTCAGGGGACGGGGTGGGGGCGGGTCCCTCAAAGTCGCCGCCGCATCGGGACGGTAGATGCCCGAGTCTGCATCTGTAGGGAGGGTCTTCAATTGTGAGTGGACAGTGGGGGATACCTCCAGATGGACTCCCCAGGGAGGGACCTCTCCAAATGGGGGCCCAGACCTCGCCAGGACTTCCAGGAGGGGTCTTCTTAGCTTCTTGGGGCAAACCTGAGAAAAGGCCCTCCCCTGCCTGGTTTCTGTTTTCTCACTCAGCCCTAGGGAACCACCACCAGTAAGGACGCCTGGAAATGCCCGTGCCCAGGTGGCTGGGGCACCAACCCCTCTTCTAGGGAGCTCAGAGACAGACAGGAGCCACCGTTTGGGGACAGTTTGGACAGTGCTCTCGAGACAGGGGGAGACCAAATGCCTCAGGCGGCCCTGGGCACCACAGGAGGACGCAGCGCCCAGCATTCAGCTCCGGACTTTCTGGCCTCTCCTCAGGGCACTGCAGGCTCCTCTGGGATGGGCAGTCTGTGCTGTGCCGTCATCTCGGTGACGAGCCCCGGTGGAGAGGCGGAGCTGCACCAAGTTGGGATCCCAGTGCGGGCACACCCTGCGCCCTGGCTCAGGACTCTGCTGCCCTTGGCCACGTAGGTTATCAGCCAGAGGTCACCGGCGGGGCCTGCATGCCTGCACGGCAGCAAGGGGGCTGAGCAGCAGATGTGTCCCTGAGACAGGGCACGGGATGACCTACCAGCTCCCAAAATCTGCACAGCTCCCTCCCTCCGTGGACATTTCCAGTCCCTGCAGGGCCTCTGCATTCCAGGATTTTATGCCCTCTGTCCACCAAGAAGGACGGGTGCCTAAGGGCTTGGAGAGGCTCCCACAGGGGTGCCAATTTGGGGAATTGGAAGTTCAGGCGGCCACGTATCGGGGACTATGGCCTCCATCACCCCAGCGTTTAAGAGCACATCCTCCCCAGCCCCCACCCATTCAGCTGCCCCCCATACCCTCATCATCTGAAGGACGTGCTGTCTCTTGGGAAGAGATGAGAGCTGTGTTGGAATTTGGAGGAAAGAAGCCTGGAGGGAGGGGCTGCTGAAATGGCCCTGAAGAGCTTTTGGGGGCCAGGGACCAGCTGTGGGCGGGGGAGGAAATGGTGGGGTCCCATGAAATTCCGAGCACCAGGGGCTGGTGAGGCGGGAGAGGGGTTGGGGAGACCCTGTGGGCCACTGAAGGCTGAGCTGTGGGCCCAGCCAGGAAGGAGCTGGTGAACGTTCCTGCCACGTGGGCCCCTTCCTGCTCTGGGCTTTGTAACCCGGAGCAGCTGGTTCTCGTTTGCAGCGTGGCTGCAGAGTCTGTGCGGATGGCGGCTTCCCAGGCGTTGTCCCCACTGCCTCGGAGGGGGCAGATCCTGATGGAGATGGCGGGAGTCACGTGGTCACTCTCTAGCATGGGCCCAGGTCTGGCTGGGGCGAGCAGTATGGGATGGAGGAAGATGCAGAGGAGGGTGAGGACTAAGAAAGTCAGGTGGTGTGGACCACAGAGGTGTCTGTGTTATTCTGCCAGAAACTGTGTTAAACCACAGACGACCAAGTGGTGAGAACGTTGGGCCTTGCAGTTCAACGGGGCTGTGTCTGGCTCTGCCACTCACTCTCTGCCCCACTGGGCACATTGCTTAAGCGCCCAGGCCTCAGTTTCCCCATGTGTGCTGTGTCTACGTCATAGGGTTTTGTGGGGAGTGAAGGTGATCGTGCTCAGGGAGCCCAGTGCCTCCCCGGAATTAAACATTCTCGTCTTGGCTCTTCATGCTGTTATTGACGTGATGATGTCATTCCCATCGTGATTCTGATTGCCTATGGTTGTGACTATTATTCAGGGGACGTGTGTCCCCCACTGTTGCTGGTGGTGGGGTGTTTGCTGATGGTGTCTGTTGGGTGGAGGAAGGGAGGGATAAAGGAAAGGACCGAAGGCCACCTGAGCCACAACATCTTGTAGAGGATGCAGCTGAGAGGCCGTGCCGTGGCCGTGGCAGGTCAGAGGCCCGTGTCCTCGGAGCTCCAGCGCTGTGTCTCTCTCTCTCCCAGAACACGAGATTGCTGGCGTCTCTGAGTCCCCTTGTAGAGGGGGGCTGTCCCCTTTTCTTTCTGAGAGGTGATGGGGTACAAGAGTCTCCCGGGGGCCCTTGCCGCAGCATCCCCGCTGGCTACCTTTTGATGTTCCCGGGTGTTCCTGAGCCGTCCACTCATCACATCCTCCTCTCTTTATCTTTCAGCCTTGAAAAGATCTTTTGAGGTTGAGGAGGTCGAGACGCCCAACTCCACCCCACCCCGGAGGGTCCAGACTCCCCTGCTCCGGACCACGGTGGCCAGCTCCACCCAGAAATTCCAGGATCTGGGTGTGAAGAACTCAGAGCCTGCAGCCCGCCATGTGGACTCCCTGAGCCAGCGCTCCCCCAAGGCTGCCCTGCGGAGGGTGGAGCTCTCGGGGCCCAAGGCCGAGCCGGTGTCCCGGCGCACCGAGATCTCCATCGACATCTCGTCCAAGCAGGTGGAGAACGCTGGTGCCGCTGGGCCATCCCGGTTCGGGCTCAAGCGGGCCGAGGGGCTGGGCCACAAGACGCCAGAGCCTGCCCCTCGGAGGACGGAGATCACCTTAGTCAAGTCCCAGGAGTCGGCCCACCGGAGGATGGAGACCCCCACCTCCAAGATCCCCGAGGTGCCCACTGCCCCCACCGCTGACGCAGCCCCCAGGAGGGTTGAGATCCAGGTGCCCAAGCCAGCAGAGGTGCCCGCCTCCCCCATCCCGCCCCAGACGCTGGAGAATTCAGAACCCGTCCCCATGTCTCAACTGCAGAGCAGACTGGAGCCCAGGCCCCATCCGCCCGCGGCCGAAGCCCCACCCAAGAGCCAGGAGGGTGAGTAGCCAAGCGCCGCGTCCACACTGCGGGGACCGGGGGTGGGGAGCTGCCTTTGCCATGGAATCTTGGAGGAAGAAGCTGAATATGGGGGGGATGTGCTTCCGTGGAGACCTGAGAATACGCGAGCGCAGGTGTCCGAAGACTCAGGGGCAGGGTCTGGCGCCCTTTCTGTCCACTGGGGATGGACCAGGATGCAGTGGGTTGCACTTGAGTTAGACTTTGGGGGGAACCTCTGGGTTGAGAGGGGCCCCCTGGATCTGGATCGGTTGGCATGGGCCGTGGTGTAGAATGTATGCCGTGTGAGCCTGGGACACAGGGGGCTGGAGGCCTGGAAATGAGGGGGACAGGAACCGGGGCAGGCTCATGGGGGCGGGAAGGGTTTGAGACCCAAGGATGGGCTCTCATGTCCCAGGGTGTCGCTGGGGGCAGGCAGCCTCCTGCTCGAGGAGACGTGCAGGCTGCCCTGCGAGTGCTGGGCGTGAGAGGAGGGCGTCCTGCTCTCCTGAGGTCTTGCATCAGAGGGTCTTCCTCCTCCTGCTCCCCAGGGAGGGAGGGGCATGACCAGAGGCAAAGAGAGCACAAGGAGCCCAGGATACCTGCGGCAGCTCCGTTTGGGACTCTTCTTCTGGTGAGGGAGGAGGTGGCCCAGACCCAGACTTGCACACGTGGGGAACTTGTAGGGACGTGGTGCCCACGCCTGTGGGACGCACCACCTGTTGGGAGCCCTGGGCCGTGGGGCGCTGTTGCTGCCCTCCCAGCAAGGACCCAGGCCCCACGGGGCCGTGTAAGGGTGCCTGCTGGGATGTGAGCCCCATGGAAGCTGGGTACAGTTCTGATCACAGGACTCGGATCTCGGTAAATGTTCCGTAAGCCATCTTTGGGTTGGACGAGCAGAACATTCTGGGTTTTTGATTGACATTTTAAAAGTTATTATTTTTAATTGTAGTAAAATATGTAAACATAAAATTGACCATTTTAACCATTTTTAAGAGCACAGTTCAGTGGCTTTAAGTACATTCGTGTTGTGCAACTATCGCCACCATCCAGCTCCAGAAGTCTTTCATCTTCCCAAACTGAAACCCTGTCCCCGTTAAACACTCACTCCCCATCCCCCTGCCCCAGCCCCTGGCGCCCACTGTCCTCCTGTCTGTCTCTGTGCACTTGACTCCTAGGGATCTCATGTAAGAGGAACCACACCGTATTTCTCCTTTTGTGACTGGCCTGTTTCACTCAGCACAATGTCCTCAGAGTACATCTGGTTTGTAACATGTCAGAATGCCCTTCCTCGGCAAGGCTGAACGATGCCCCATTGTGTGTGTTGAGCACGGTTTATTTGCCCGGTCATCTGCACTGGACGCTCGGGTTGCTCTCCTCCTTGGCTATTGTGAATAAGCTGCTGGGAACGTGGGTGTGCAGGTGTCTCTTCGAGTCCCTGCTTTCAGTTCTTTCTGGTTTTCCTTTTGGAATGAGAATTTCCCAGTGGTCAGTGGGCTTCAGGACGGGGAGGGCTTCGGCTTGTGATGAGGCTGGCGTGTTGGATAAGACCGGCCCTCCTCACACTCTGATGTGAGTGGCAGCCACGTTCTTTCGAGCACACGTTTGACTGAGCGGGTCGGGGTGGGAGTGAGGGCCTGAGACCCTGAACTTCCTGCAGCACTGGGCCACACTCTGAGTGGCCAGGGACAGGACCTTTGGAGGTCCCTTCCAGCCCTGGGTATGTGTGAGTCTGTGTTCTCTGCCGTCCACCTACACTTGACCCTGTGGAGGCACCCCTGTGCGCCCAACCACAGTGGTGTCGGTGTGTCGGGATAAAAGCTCGTCTGGTGTTCAGGGAGGGGCAGGGGGGCTGTTTCCTTACTGTCTTCTGTTGGTCCAGGGCCTTTGCCACCGGATACATCCCCCTCCCGGGGGTGAGGTGTTCACGCTCAGCTGCGTCAAACAGGATGTGGCCGGGTAGACGGTCGTCACCGGGCTCATCCGGATCTTGATGACAGCTGGTGCTGGATGGGCAAGGAGGTGGTCCTGGCTCCAGGGGACGAGCAGGGGCTGTCTGCTCAGGGTGGCACCGCCCTGGGTCATCGGAGCGGGCAGGGCACAGCCTCGGGCATGTCCTGGAACATCTTCCTCTAGCGGCAGATACTTCGCAGACCAGGCCCACTGGGACTGGTCAGGCTGGCTCTGCCTCAGGAGCAGGATGGTGGGTGGGCAGCCACTGAGGAACAGTGTGCGGGTGCCAGGGGGCTTCCCGGAGCCCAGGCTGTTTCAGCAAGTCTGCAGAGAGTAGGATTTAACCAGGCAAAGAAGGGAGAAAACAGCATTCCTGGCTGAGCCAGCGGTGCAGGGTGTCAGGGAGGCTGGAACTCAGAGGGACTGTACGATCTCCCTGTGGAAGAGAATTTAAATGTCCGGGCTGGGCATGAGAGGACCACCGTCAGCATCCCCGACTCCGCTGCCCCTCTCTGTGCAGATGGAGGCCAGCTCTGTGTGGAGAGGTCCATAGGCCAGCGAGGCTGTCCTCCCATCCTTGGAGCAGAGCTGGGGGTCGGGATATGTGCCCGTCTTGTGTGTGCACGTGTGTGAGCTCCTGCATGTGCTGAGCGCCATCCCTCGAGTCTCATCGGCTGGGTGGGGAGGGGACTCTGAGGCCAGCACCCCCCGGCTGGGGCAGCTGGACCGGGCGGGGGTAGGACAGATGCTGCAGAGAGGAAGGATGCTCCGGTGGGAAGGGCGGTGGAGGAGGTGGGGGCTCCGATGACTCAGTTTGGGAGGATTCCTTCCTCTTAAAGCAGCACTACAGATGCACTGTGAGCAACCCCGGCCTCAGGCCTGGAAGTGAACTGGGAGGAAGAAGTGAGGGCCACTGTGGGCTGGGGAATGTGGCCCTGACCTGCTCAGCCTTGGACGTCCAGTCTTGAGGTCCTGGGCAAGTCCAGTTGGAGGGCGAAGCCTTCTCGAAGGAGGGGTGTCCCGGAATCCATTGCAGTGGCTTCTCAGGGCCCAGGGCCGAGCTCTCACCCAGGCCCTGCTCCATCTGCTCCCCGTCCCATCCCCTCCTCTGGTCATGGCCTGTCCAGTCCGCCCGGACACAGATCCGGTTCTCCCTCCACCTTGCTTCCTGCAGACCCGGCACTCCCGTCCCGCCCCGCCCCGCCCCTCCGTAGGGGGTTGGGTTGTGAGCTCCCAGAGCCCCCTACCCCACAGGCCCTGCTCTGACTGCCCTCTGTGCGCACACTGCTCTTAGCTCCTGGGGACCAGCTGGCAAAGGGCAAAGGCTCCTGGAGGGAGGGAGCTCCGTGCCCTCTGACCAAACTCTCAGCCCTCTGCTTCTGCCTCTGGGAAACCTAGACTGTGGCTTTGGCTGCTGGACCGGGTCTCCTGGGACTCCCGCTGAGCTGCTCCCAGACTGACCTCCCTGAAGCACAGCACAGCTGAAATCCATGCCCACTCTGCCTTCACCAGCTCGCTCACCCCGGGGCCCTCCAGGATCCACTCACTCTTTCGTCCAGCTCACGCCTCCCTGCTCCCCGCTCCTCCTGCTCTGATCCTTTCATGGTCTGCTGCGGGGCCGTGGTCCTCACAACGGTCCTATCCTGACCTCCCGACCCCCGACCTGGCTCCTCTTCGCATCACTGCTTTTTGAACTCCTCTGCATTCTTCAAAGCCCAGCTCAAATAGCACCTCTTCCATGAAGCCCTCCCACTAGCGGGAAGTAGCCTCACTTCTTCTGACTCCCGTGTCTTTTTGCATCTTTTTCATGTCTAATAGCTTGTGTTTGGCTTGGAGTGTAAATTATTTGTGTGTGGACCTTCTTTGTTCTGCGAGATTTTTTTTAAACATGAGAAGAGTTTTTCAGAGTACCATTTCTTTAACATTCAGAAAATGTACAAATTAGAGAGAAACTAAAATTCACATGTAAGCCAGATATATCCACTCTTAACATTTGCTATACATTCTTCACAATTTCTTCCCTGCCCCCCACTGGATTCTAGGTTACTTGAGGGGGGGACTGTTGTCTTTGCTTTTTTAAAGAATATCATGGGAGACCAAGTGACTTGGACGTAGAGGGTACTGAATAAAATAATGTTGGAGGAGTGACATGGGATGCTTTTTTGTGGCTCTTACAGGCAGGTGCAGGGACCCCATGGGACCCTCCAGGGACCAAGCGAGACTTTCCTGGTCAACCAAGAACCCCCAGGTCTGAGCTGCTCCACTCTGGTGTGTTGGGCTTTTGGTTTCCGAGCCTGCTGTCCCTGTCCCTGAACCTGGCACCGTCCTTGTCATCCTTTGGGGCCGTCCCTGCTTCTCTCGGGCTCTGTGTGGGAACGGCCTTGCCTCCTCTCCCAGCTCCCTGCTCTCCCCCTGCCCCTGCTTGGGTGGCTCAGGGTGGGGCTGGCCTGCAGGACACAGCCCCGTGTCTGCGTCGCCAGCTGCTGGCTCTGCCTCCCCCTGGGAGCCACCCCCCCGCCGGCTCCACGGCCGACACCAGCCAAGTTTCCCCGAGGCAGCCTTATAAGGTGGGCACTGGCCGCTCACTTGTGGGTCTGGTTCTTTGCTGTCTCTGGAGGCTCATTGGAGGCGACGGGGGAGGCCGGGGTGACCAGGCGGCATGAAGAGTGGGGCACTCCAGACTGGCGCCCGGCTGGGTTCTCGAGCATGTCCCGATTTCACCCCACGAGCCGACTTGTTCTGAGCTATCACTTTGCACACCCCCAGCCTCAATTTCTTGATCTGTCAAAGGAAGGAGGGGCTTGGCCTGCTGGCAGGAGGCGGTGGGGCGTACACCACAGTGGAGCCAGGGGTCACTTTGACAGTGGGCATGAGATTGGGCTGCGGCAACTCAGTGAGTGTCTCAGTGGGGTTTCCCTTCCTTCTACTGAAAACATCTAGAAATGTTCGTGGTCACGGCTGGAGCCTTGGGGAAGGTGGACGTACCTTCTCTGCCTGCGGGGTGTGCCTTCCACATGTGCTGGGGCCTGCTGCAGCAAGCCCGCCTTAGG